TTATATATATATATCTACATTTAGTATTTACTACAAAGTACGAGCATGTACAAAATCGTATTTAGCTAACATATGCTGTGCAAGTTCGAAAACTGGGGTTCTATAGTTGAAATTTTAAAATGGTTTTCTATTCTCATCATATTGTTCCTGAGTAATGACAGACACTTTATCGTTTTATCAACAAGGAAGCATTCAGCTTACAAGCGGCAGCCATTAGCAGATGCAGACGCATGCAGTAGGGCAGCACTGCGACATGGGGCAGGTGGGCCGCCTCTTGTTGTACTCACCCTATGTATATTCTGAATGCTAAATGGATGACATTTCGGCATTTGTCGCAGCTGATCGTCGGGGTCTGGTTGACGTCGAGGAAAACTTCGCTCTAAAAGGTTAGAGCCACAATGTTGCTTTTGCTTTACTATATGTTTTGCCGATTGTTAGCCTTGCAAGCGCTTCGATAAAATTAGTGTAACACATCACTGAGCACTACTTTATTCGCAGCTGGGGTGTGTTGATCCGGTTTGTTAGCTGCAGTATTGTATTTACTGCGTGGATAGGCTTTTGGATGACGTTGTTGCTATGGATGGCCTTACCTTTAGCAGGTTATTATGAAAGAACATTTTCCATCACGATTCCCCAGGCAGGAATGGAGCTTCTTTCCATTTGCTGGTGCTGGCAACGCAGCTCTTGGCATGTTTCCCCACTGCGAGCGCAGGGGGCACCCAGAAGACGTGGATAGATCAAAGAAGTAACCTGAGATCGAGATAGACGTCAGCTTCGCAGATTATGCCACGGTTTCCCGTTGTAGACAAGTTCGTTATAGAGTAGAAGGTGGCTGACCTGCTTATGGTATTTACCGATATTTTGACGTCCTCGGACTAGTTTTGTCCTTCTATAAGCTTGTACATATCCCCTATGCTGGTCTGTTAATCGCTTCAGATGTTTCGTTTAAATTTAGATCGTGTGTTTAAAATGACGCCATCTCTACCTTGTTATATTTTTATCTCGCCACTCGATATATCTGTACAAAAACGACATATGTAGCATTTATTACGTGTATAATATATTGTAGACCGATATGCTAAAGCACCTAGTTGCCGCTGTATATCCTGAACGAGTTACTTCTCGTACCTGCTGATTAGCTGTCTCCGTGCAGTGTTCGATTTTACGTCCTAATTATCTGATCGACGATTTTATTTGTCCACAAAGATCACCTATTTTGAGGCATGCATGGGAACGGTAGGTGACGAGTTCGGTCCATTCTGCTCCACACTGTGTGTGTTCAAGGTTCATCTATTTTACGCATACAAAAATTTCACATGAGTTAAGACAGTCAGAGCGCTTGTGCCGTTATACTGTTGCTTGGGCGTAGTGCTCCGCCCCACGCAGTTGCCACTTATTGCAATCAAAAGTGTTATTATCGCCTGAAAACGCCGCGTACGGTTAGAAGTTAGCTCGGTCGCCATGATGACAGTAGGATGGTCGAGAAGGAATCACGAAGAATTATAACACGTTTTCTGTCTCTCTACCTTTGCCCCCCTGCCCGCCGCCCCATCACTTTCGATGCATTTCTCTCTCTCTCTCCCTCCTGTCTATCTAAACTCTCCCGTTTTGAGATGCGTGCAACCGACATACCACAAGATTGCCTGTCTGCTTCGCGATAGAACAGTAGACGCCATCAAGCAACACGTGATCAATAGGCTCCACTATCCTTTTAGACTTTCTCGTACGTGTTAGGAATTAATGGTTTGGTTGTAACAGATAGATTCTAAGAAGTAGACATATAAAATAAATATCTGCATCTATGTTTCCATGTTACTTCAATTTATTTTTCACTTTGTTGTTTGTCGGCCAAGTACCATAACACACTCAGGCGGATCTGCACCTCTCACGCTCTAACCCGCATTAAGCTGCTGTAAGAAATCATTTTTTGTCCGTTTTCGTGACGGACATGGCCTATTTGCACTTCTTCGTCCCTGTGGTTTGGACTGGTTGTGTTTTTGTTTTTTTAGCGAGTTAGTACAATATGTTTCTTGCCGGTTCACATCGGACCGATATAACTGTTACAAAATATCATAGAAAAAAGTTCCTCTAGATTTATTCTCACTTTTTTGTTTATCATCAGCAACGTCCTACCTCAAGTAGAGGTAAGTCGAAGATAACAGGGATATCACTTGCTCGTCTACTAACCTTCTTTATTACGATGATCCCTGTTCTCGGGCTATGTATTAAGAATTGATGTTTTTTCCATTATTTCCGTCTTAATTCGGCAACGAGTAATAAAACGTTCTCTAAATTTATCTACCTTTTTTGGTATCGCTTTGCCATGGTAACATGTGTTGCTGTGCGATCATCATCACCGCCGTCTTCCTTTGTTTTTATTCAATATGATAGCAGGCAAGTGATAAGCCCAGCCCTTATCAGTCAGGGGTGTACAGAATAATTACAGTATAAAGCACAACAATACAAATGTACAGTGCAGTTGCAAATAAAGAATACAGTATATAATAAATGAATAACAATAGTAGAACATGTAAAATATATGCATATTAAGTTGACGCCTATTGACTGGACGCTCTTTGAAGACGCCACGCGTGTACGCCGCTTCGTAAGAATACGTACGTACGCTTCGAAAGAATAGGGTGACGAGAGACGAGCTGATGCAGGTTGATTAAAATGGATGGATTGAGCCGTCCCTGCGAGACGATCCTATATAGCATATTTAAACGCACAGAATTGTAATGATCCATATGGTATCGGTTGTATTCAGGGCTGTTTATCGTTTGGAATTTACTTGCAAGAGATAACATATGATACATTGCGTATAGTCATCAAACGCTTCGGCACTTGGACGGCCACTGCCCTGAGAACAATAGCTGAATCTCTATTCAAGTGTTTCTCGTCGATCCGGCTAGCCTAAACCTCGTATAAGAGATACTGCTTGAGGTAGGTGGGCAGTTCATTAAGTTGTGCAATTTTCTGGATCACTTTGTGGGCGTTCTTACTCAGCAGATGCCGTACCCGAACCCGGCATTGCTGTTTGAGCGTCTGGGGCGTAGTGGCTTTTTCAAGAAGAGCGTCGCGAACGTTCGGCGTTAGGACGGCGGATCTCCGAACGACGTTCGGGCTCCAATTGTGGTCGCAGCACTCAAGCACTAAATCGATAATTTCAGGGTACTCCTGAACATTTTGGATCGTCTTCAGGATGCCGAGATTATCCTGCGTCTGAATTTGCAAACAAAAGAGATTTAGCTGTACGCTATAGCGTAGCGCGTACTATAGTATTTTGGACGATCTAGTAAACATATTTAATATAATAAGAAATGATAACAGTAAAAAGTAAAATTCTGTTCTTGTAAACTATTTTTAATGAGAGTTACTTGTTTCCGGCCGGCCCACTACACCAAACCAAAAAGAAAAATCGCCTTAGGAAACGTGGCATAGGTTCGTTTTGTTGAATAATAATACTGGTGATATTTTGCTCATTAGTACAGGTTAGCACAAGTACACGTAGACGCCGCTTAAAAGACTAACACGAGTAGAACGAATGCTCTCTTATCACGCTGATTCGTCGTCACGTTTCAACGGTCTTTTCCACAAAATTTCCCATTTTTGCCATCGACATGTGTATCAATGTTAAGCTCACATGCGACGTACTTAAGAGTGTCTTTCATATGCTGATGTTACATTTCTTACACAGGAAAGACAAACATGCCGGTAACTTCGACAAATCATGGTGGAACACATATGTTAATTAATGAAGGAAAAACGAATATTGAGAAGTGAATACAGGCTGCCGATATAGCGCAGGCAATGGCATACGCATCCTCCACGAAGCAGCCGCTGCAAATGATGCAGCTCATCTACGCTCCGTTTAGATCCGAAAATCCCCCTACTTGGTCCAGGCAACAGGTTAGAAACGTCATAGTTTCAACATTGGCTATTATTTAAACAAACGCTTAATTGTTTCATTAATGAAGCAGACAGATCAAAGGAGGCATTGATGAACGGTGAAACAGCACGATCACATATAGTCGAGGACATATTGTAGAAGTAATTTGATTTTTTCTATGAGTACTGGTGCGTGTCCAGTCATTCTAGAGGGTATATTGTATATGGTGCAAGGGGCTGTGTTATATGTACCTTTTGTTTGAAAGGAAGCAATGTAGAACGCATTAATTGGATTAGATCTAGGCGCAGGACGTGTCGAGAGAACCGCACAATTAACAGTGACCCCAAAGATGAGTAAGCTACTAATCGCTCAACTCTATATAGCGCACGCCTGTGCTTTGGATTGGTTTTAATTGTTCGGTACGATTGTCCAACGGAAACGGAAAGGCAGACTGCCAAAAATCTAGCTGGCAGCAAAAACCCGGGCATGATTTGTCGAAATTGTGGCCTAAAGATACTAGGCTCACTAGATGCTAGAGTGCACTCAAGGCACATCTAAAGTGCTCGAATCGCGCCCTACAGGACGTCAATAATCCTGGCAAGCTAATTGAATTAACCTGCACTTAGACGAACGCTGAGCGCAACAGAGATCCGTTAACTAGCAATACAATAGTGCTTCCCGTAATTGCACCAGCGAAGAAGTACGCGACCGATTACGCAGTGCCATCTACCGCTCAGGGATACCGGAAGGTCATCAAGCTGATTAGATAACTTTATAAGTTAGCGACAGGCGATCCGTCGCAGTCAACTCTTTTGCTATTAGGATATGTTCATCCATTCAAGAGTATATATATATATATATATATATATATATGTATAAATAAATTTCTACACAGGGAAAGTCAGCTGGCCGCTGTTTGCGAAAAAGTACCAAACGCCCTCCCAGTGATCAGAGCCCATTCAACGATCTGAAGCGAATCAGCTATGAAACTCATTAACAAGCCACCTAGTCGATCGGGCGAAAGCGGTATTTGTTTTTAATTTCTAAGGTTTTTATTTGAAGTATTTAGATTTGGAAAACTATCGTATGTTCCATAACTTACACTTCAAGGTGGAACTATATAAATCTGATGCTGATTCTATTGCTTGTCTTATAATACGATTTTGTTATCATTTGAAACAAATCAGCTTTCACAGTCGATCCGAAAGACTTTTGTGGGGTTAATGTTCTAACAAACTCATGTGTTTGTTTGTGTGATTATTACCTGAAGCGTCATTACAATTTTGGCGCCATATTTAAGCAGGATCCGGATAATATCCTCCCTGGGAACATGCCCACGAAAACTGTCCGTCGAAAGGAAGTATTCGCCAATAGGTGGCTTCAGGAAAGGCTTATCGTCGTCGGTGTATGTGATGAAATTAGGATCGGCACCATGGTCCAGTAATAACTGGACGATTTCCTTCGAATTCTCGGCGTGTTCCGATAGCGCGATGTGCAAAGGTGAGCCGACGATCGGCGAGCCCGTGTTGATTTCCGCGCCCCAATCAAGGAGAAGGCGGATTAGCTCGATGTTCGCCCTATATCGCGCCATAAAAGCACAAGCAATTTACATGTATAGTCCGAAAGCAGCGCTCGTGCGGTCTACGTCGGATCTAAAGATCTCCGTTGTTCTCGAAAGTGGCCAGACATAGAGAAAAAGCTCTGTTACAATGAAACGTTAGAGGCAGACGCTTCATTATTTCTGAGGAAACGTATTTGCCTAAATGGAGCCAATTTGAGGTCGTAGCGATTAGGTATGATCTCCAAATCTAGCCTACCAGACATCTAGTAAAAATCAATTAGTGCCGAGGAAAAATACATACAGTAAATCTAGGTGGTATCGATTAAGCTTACCTAAGAACGGCGAAATCCAGTGGGCTGGGATATCTGTATGATGGGCTCATGTTTACACGAGTACCCTTCGACAGAATAAGCTTTACGGTGTCCATATTTGACGACAAAACGGCGTAATGCAACACTGATCGATAATCATGTCTCTCGCCGGCCATTGCGTTTACGTCTGCTCCAAATTTTATAAGTAACTCTACAGCGTCGTAACCTAATTATAGAAAAATATACAATATAGTATAATATAATTATAAAAAACGTTCAGTCTTTTCTAGACTACCTACATCTGATGCCCTGTTTTTATCTTCTTAATTAATATTAGTTTACAATATTTATTTTAAAATATAATATAAAAAATATTACTAATTATATTTGTTTAAGTAATAATCCGAAACGATAATCGTTGACTGCGTTCGACTGACAATACTATAATTAGTATTATGTTTCATCATCTAACCTTTAATTCGAGTATAATTGAAAAAATAATTTCCTATAGATAATCACACTTCATTAATTTCATTTGCAACAATGTTTGGCATAAAAAAAGGGCAGAAAATACCATTTCATCTCAAGGCAGAGTTCAATCCGCCATTGTAAGGAAATAAGCATATTTTTCCATCGGGACCAAAAATAATTCTATCGTTTATTGATCCTAAGGAAAACTATTCCATTGGGTTGTTGTCACCATTTTGTCGATAAACGTATCTATCTCGCTTTGATTAGGTAAAAAAATTTGACAAATTGACGCCACGGTAATTTTAGATGCTCATATAAGTGGAGGGATGCAGCTGGAACGGCGGGACATTACCCTAAACTACGTTCACACCTGTATGAAGCTTATGGTGTCTGTTCGATGTTCTAATGTAAGTGTTATTTAGTACAGTTTCTGGTTTGCTGATTACGGCTAAAGTTTACCGTCTATAGCTGAAGAAGATTGTAACAAAAATTTCAGATCAAGTATCCAAGATTAGTAAACAGATGTAGACTGTTTCTATTGCATGACGCCACTCAACTTGCTAGCTGCAAAAATGACGATGGCAACGCAAGAGT